ACTGCATTCAACTTACTTTTATGCTTCTTCTGGCATACCCAGGTTTCGCTGCCATATAACAAAGTCGGTACCAACACTGCGTTATGTATTGCAAGGCGTGCACTCTTCGCTACGCCTTGCCTTTTGACTAACGCAGTCAGGGCACCATTGACTTTGTTCCCGGCAGCGACACGCCTGTCCACATCTAAATCACATCTTCCATCCCGGCTAAAAGCACTCCCCAAGTATACAATTTCATTTACCTGTTCTAGACATTCCTGATTTACCCATATTTCACACTTCGTTCTCTCTTCGTCCCTTTCAAATACCAGAACCTTAGTTTTATTAGCATTCAAACGGAGACCTTTAATTTCACATTCCTCTTTCATACACGTGACTAATGCCTGCAGTTCTGCCTCTGATGGTGCAATAAGCACTGCATCATCAGCATACAGCAGACAATTTACTTTTATGTCACCCAATTTCACACCCAAACAGCTATCTTTCAGCTTTTGTAAACAGCTGTCGAGATACAGTATGAACAGCCAGGAAGACATGACACAACCCTGTTTTACGCCCGTTTGGACGCTAAACATGGGTGACAGGTCATGCCCTACCCGCACACAGGCCTTACAGTCACAGTAAAGAGACTGCACAGCCCTTAGCAATCGGCCATCCACACCATACCCCGGCAACAGTTCCCACATTTTCTTCCTTACAACCTTATCAAATGCTTTCTCAAGATCCACAAAAGCACAGAAAATCTTCTGGTTAACAGCCAGAAGCTTTTCCGTGATCATACGGAGAGAAAACATTTGATCCGTGCATCCTCTTCCAGGTCTAAATCCGCATTGTGCCTCCCATAGAAATCTTTCCGATTTCTCTTGCATCCTACGTGTCAAAACCTTCGAGTAAACTTTACTTGCTAAACTGGTCAAGCTGATCGCCCGATAGCACCCGCAGTCAAAATGTGAACCTTTACCTTTATATAAAGGCACAATGACTGCGGATCGCCAATCATCCGGGACAACCCCCGTCCGCCAGCACAAATTGCACAGCAGATGAAAGCTGTCCCAGACGCGAGGCCCACCATACTTGACCATTTCAGCAGTAACTCTGTCTAGTCCCGCAGCCTTACCACATTTCAAACTTCGAATCGCACGTTCAATCTCTTCCATACTGATGACCTCAGTGTCATCGAGGTCCGGGTCTGGCGTGCCAGTCACGGCGTCATCCCCGGATCCCTCACTAAGATCATCACACGCATACATTTCTCTATAAAATTCGCTCCATCGCTGCATGACGTCCGATATAAATTTAAAGAAATAAATATATTAACTTTGGCCTCTCATACGAATATTTACGAAAATTTAATGTATGTTCACAAAAACAAAGGTAGTTTTAGTAAAAAAGTAATATACATTCTGTAAAAACTAGGAACAAACACAAGCTAGTAATACCAGTTTCTCGAATCCACAGAGTCAGTAATTCATTATTGGGGCAATGTATACGCTATTACAACAAGGTCCCGGAAAGTGTACAGGCTCTCTCTATTACCAAATGTTTTGTTAAGTTTAAACTATAAAAAGGGTTATTATAGTATAAATGAATATATGCTTGATAATAACCCCTGGGAATGAGGTGATCGCTTCCAAGCTGTTTCTAAAATAAATTTTGTACCAACCATTAATGTAAAATATGCTTTTAAAAAAAAAGTCCCACTGGGTTTCTTGCTGGTTCTTCCCAGGACAGAGGTTTTTTTCGAACCAGCGGTAAAGTAAAAAATAACTTTCAATAAGAATTACACCTATGATCTATATTGAATAAAAAATTATTCTATTCTATTCTAATAAAGAGTTTCATCTATTAATCGGGTTACTATTGACAAATTAAAAACTTCGTCTTTTAAATTTTTCTATAATCGTCATTATTATCATTTTACATATTGGGGCCTATCACAAGATAACTATACTGCTATACATAGATTTCTAACAAGGACAGTTCGAAAACCTTATTTAATTGATAATACCAAAAAAATATTCTTCATATTTGGTTTCTTGCTAGAAATGACTATCAAATTTATTTTAATAAAAGGAATAGTTTCCAGTAACGACTCTACGTTTACATTTACGGAACACAGTAAGTAGTTAGAAGTATATATGCCTAACACCAAAAATAGTTGAAGTATGCAAACCAACAGTACCTACCACTGACTATCGCGATGCGACACAGGACAGCCCTACCGTAAGATAAAGTTATAATCGGAATAACTACGACGGACGGAATGACGACAACATTAAAACTTGTTGAAAACCGATCTAAGCCAGTTGTTCGAGTGGTAATTTATACTGTTAGAACGAGTCCGGATTAGGAGTGCTATCCTCACTTCTTTGTACTTTCTTTTATTTTCTACCCTCATTGCACGCACGGCCTCTCTGACAAAACACACGTCCTTTTGTGTCGTTTCTTGAAGCCACCTAAAAAACCTCTTGTCTCAGCTTTTTTTTGACATGAAGCAACGAGTTGCAACATCAAACTCTTTTCACAAATTTAAGTCGTCAGCGTACATTCTACGCGATTCTACAGGGGTTTCCAGCTACAGAACTTATTGTTAACATTTACAAAGATTTCCCGTAGAGCTAAATCCGCGCTTAGGCGTGGAGTTATGGATACTGGTCCAACTCAATTAATGAATCATCATAGAAAGTCACGCAGTACTTTCAGTTACAACCGACATTATGCTAAAACAACTGCCTGTCGTCTATACTAGATATAAGTTTAATTTAATCGTGGGTACTTTTAACTATACTCGATTAAAAATAATTTAACATTTATACTAGAACGATCTGCAAGTGTTTTCACCCGTAAGAAATTTAACACATTGACAGTCTTTACACCAAAACAACACTTTTTAAAACATTCATGGAACACAATAGTATACAATTAAAAGTAAATACAAGATGGGTAACAACAGTAAATTAAGCCAACAAACCAACAGCAGCACTACCAATGCTGCGAAAACCACCAACATCGATGTGACACAGAGCAACCTCTCCGCAATATAATCTTCTCTACATTTGTAAAAAAAAAATATAACGGATAGAATTACGACTCCAAACTCGTAGAATTACTGACAAGCTAGCTGCCAGCGCTTTATAAAGCTGCTCGAATGAGAAAGGGATGGGTTTAAGAGAGATAGATACTCTCTCTACAACCATCTTTTGTTATGGGACTTAAATTTTAGGTTTCTTTTTAGAATAAGCGAATATTATATCAAAGAGGCCAAGAAAAAAATAGATGAACGGAAACACAGTATACCAGAGGAAGACAAGAGTATCATAGAGAAACTGTTGGCCATTGATGAAAAAGTAGCCATTATGATGGCGAATGAAATGCTTTTAGCTGGTATTGACACGGTGGGTACTTACTAGAATAAAATAGTCCTAGATCAAACCCAACACTTGTTTTGTTTGTCATTATAAAAATACAAGCAATTTTTGAATTAGCATGAAATCTAAAGTATATGCAAATAGATTCTGATAATCATATAAATACCTATAAAATATCAAATACAATTTTCAGGTAGCTTTTACAACTATTGGCTTGCTATACAATTTGGCGACTAACCCAGAAGTACAAGAAATATTACGCATGGAATTGCAATCTGATCAATCTAACAAACCATATCTTAGAGCGTGTCTTAAAGAGTCGATGAGATTATATCCTGTATTGCCTGCAAATCTACGTCGGACTTCCAAAGAACATGTCGTGGCTGGATATCATATACCAAAAGGGGTGAGATTTAAAAGTCTTTTAGCTTTAATTTTATTACTTTTAATTTAAGAATTTAAAGGATGTCTTCAATTGAGTTCAAGGACAAGGAAACATCATAAAAAAAGGAGGTTCTTACCAAAAAAACATCAGCACATCACATGGGATGACTTGTTTATTTTTAATACTCACCTCTTTCTAGAATCACGTGTGGCCGTGTATGGCTACTATATTTTATTATACTTTATACTATCGGGTCGATATTGCACAGTATTAAAGGGATGCCTTGGACTTGGTAAAAAGGCTTGTAGCTGTAGCTTTATTGCTTAATACTATGCTTTGACTTTTTTTTGTAAAATATCAGTAAGTTTTAGTAAAACTGTGTGTTACCTAATGGATCATATTGTGTAAATCTGTAACTTAACTGACTTTTTTTTAATACTAGGTGGTAGGACTCCTTTTCTGCTTAGGAGTCCGTGTAAGTTGGTACCACCCTCTTACTCATCATCATCATCATCATTACAGCCCTTCACAAGTCCATTGCTAAACATAAGCCTCCCCAAGGAATGCCACCCGAGCTCGAACGTATCAATGCCGTGGATGGCTAAGATAGACGCAGTATTTGAGAAAGAATGTGGTCGTACAGATTGCACCGTTCGTCTAATTAACCTTTTTGACATTTGTATTTCTGCCACATTAATACTAGTGTTCAAAAGCTCCAGTTTCAAAATTTATCATCGTGGTCGGAATCGGCAAGAAGTATAAAATCTGATACTTATGCACAATTAATTTTAATCTTTGTTATACTATAAACAGATATAATTTTAGGTAGACGTTATTGCTCCCAACGAGTTCTTATCAAAATTGGAGAAAAATTATACAAGGCCAATGGAATTCTTACCAGAAAGATGGCTAGTAGATAAATTAGATCCACTATATTATGGGAAAGCTCATCCAATGACAACACTGCCTTTCGGATTTGGAGTGAGAAGTTGTATAGGAAGAAGAATAGCAGAGTTAGAGATTGAAACATTTATAAAAAGATTATTATGTGATACAAAAGTAAGCTGGGAAGGTCCTTCATTGGAAGTTGTCACAAAAGTGTTTAATAATTTTAAAAAGCCATACTATTTTAAATTTGAAAGCATTTCATAGTGAAAATGTAAATAAATAAAAAATGTCTGTATTAATTTTATGTATATTACTAGTAAAAATATTAAAAAATAAAATATTCTTAATAAAAATTATCATTACGAGGGCTTTCTATACTTTCCTTGTACCCAAACCCTGTACATTGTTAACATCTTGCCTCGATTCACTTGAAGTCTTCGATCAATCAAATTTTGCTCTTCCAAAAAGCCATTGTTAACAAATAACTGTTTAACTTCTTCTTGAGTAAAGAAGTATACCTTGGTGTTATCTCCACGAGCATAGAAATTGTCAGAAATGCAACGACCTTTCTTGAATCTAAGTTGAGCTAAGTCATATTTACCATAGTCCCGGAACACCACCAATCCTCCTGGTTTTAAATATTTATATATATTTTTTATAACGCCTGGCATTCTGAAATCAAAGTGTTTTAATGTAGTATAAAAACAACATTCATTGACTTTTTCATTATTAATTAAGATCAGCATACACTTTAATCTACTGTCTAATATACGAGGCTACCAATACTGAGATTGTATAAATGCCAGCTAAGTATGACAAATTAATCCTAAATAGATGAGGTACAAGCCCAAAGGTGGTACATTATGTATTCTACTATGAAAATGATATAGGAGTCTTAATTTGTAAATTTTTTTATATCATCATCATCATCATCATTACAGCCCTTCACAAGTCCACTGCTGAACATAGGCCTCCCCCAAAGAATGCCACAAAACACGGTCCTGAGCCACCTGCATCCATCGACTTCCTGCATGTCTTACCAGGTCGTCACTCCATCTCGTGGGGGGACGCCCTACACTTCGCCTACCGGTACGAGGCTGCCACTCAAGAACCTTTCTTCCCCATCGGTTGTCGGTTCTTCGAGCTATATGGCCGGCCCACTGCCACTTCAGCTTACTAATCCGTTGGGCTATGTCGGTCACTCTGGTTCTACTGCGGATATCCTCATTCCTAAGTTTATCACGCAGAGAAACTCCGAGCATAGCCCTCTCCATAGCTCGCTGAGCGACCTTGAGCTTCCTCATACGGCCAGCAGTGAAGGACCACGTCTCAGTTCTGTAAGTCATCACTGGCAACACGCACTGGTTGTACAATTTCGTTTTAAGGTTTTGAGGTATGTCTGACGAGAAGATGTGTCGTAGCTTCCCGAACGCTGCCCAGCCGAGTTGAATCCGTCGATTGACCTCTCGGTCGAAGTTGGACTTACCCAGTCGGACTATTTGTCCCAGGTAAACATACTCGTCAACAACTTCGAGCTTAGTGTTCCCAACAACTACCGGCATAGGTGTGACATGGACATTAAACATGATCTTAGTTTTGTCCATGTTCATCTTAAGACCTATCCGTTGGGAAACACTATTGAGGTCATTGAGCATAGTGCTTAGGTCCTCCAGCGATTCTGCCATAAGGACTATATCGTCGGCAAATCGAAGGTGAGTGATGTACTCGCCATTGATGTTGATACCGTATCCTTTCCAGTCCAGAAGCTTGAAAACGTCTTCCAATGCAGCGGTGAAGAGTTTCGGGGATATGACGTCACCCTGTCTTACACCTCTCTGCAATTGGATAGGTTTCGTATTCTGGTTCTGTACTCGGATAGCCATCGTAGCCCTACTGTACAAGCACTTCAACACTTCGATATACCGACAGTCAACTTGGCACCGCTGAAGGGACTGCAGCACCGCCCAAATTTCGACGGAATCAAAGGCTTTCTCATAGTCCACATACGCCAGACATAGTGGCAAATTGTACTCTTCGGACTTCTGTACAACTTGCCGAAGGGTATGTATGTGGTCTATGGTGCTAAAGCCCTTTCGGAAACCGGCTTGTTCGGGAGGCTGGAAGTCGTCAAGTCTTTTATATCAAATAGTACTTAATTGCAATTTTTATGCACTAGTAACATTCATGATGGTTAATTTAATTTTACACAATGGAATGGATGGCCAACACTCCCTAAAATAATGTACATGTAAAATTAATTACTTAAATTTTAAATCATCGTAATTATATACTCTGTCACTATAATAAATGTTATGAAATGTATTGTAAACATCACACCAGTCTTGCTTTCCTGCATCATAGGTGTGACTGGGTATGACAATTAGTGAATTAATAATAATTAATATCATCATGATAAATAATTATCAATTTCCACCCGGTGGGATTATGGTTAAACACTGGCTTATAATAAATAAATAAAAAAAATTCTGATTTCTTATTTGTGTGTATTTTAGATTCCTCATAAATAAAATAAAAATTGTTGCATTTATCGTTAAAAATATGTTTTACACTCGTTTAAGTTTCTTTATTCTACTTCTTCTTAAAACTATCATTACATTCGTTTATCTATACATATAATAAATCTGTAGAAAAGTCGTGTCTGTAATTCTAATATATTCTTGAAAAATCAAGTCCAGGGGACTAAATAAAGGTTTCTGAAACCAAATCAGTGGTTTTTAGAATTTTTGTCTGTCTGTCCGTCTGTCTGTCTGTCTGTCTGTCTGTCTGTGTATTCCGGATTCACGCAAAAACTACTGGACCAGTGTACATGAAATTTTGTATGTAGGTAGATAGTAACCCGGGGCAACTTATAGGCTACTTTTTATCCGATTACGGAACTTCAAAAAAAAAAGGTTAAGTATTTTCTTTCCTCTAGATGTTAATTTTCAATTATATCTTAGCTATAGGTGGGATGACGGGTTTTTTTTCAAATAAATACCATATTTATAAGTAAAACATAAAATATAGTTATAAACTTGGTAAACTAATTTGAAACTACACCGATTTAGTTATCAAAACAGCGCCATCTATCATCAAGTGAAAAAAGTGGTATATTTTGCCTTCAGTTACTAATAAATCAAATAATATAAGTTACATACATTTATATGTTGAAAAAATAACATTTTTTAAAATTATTTAAAACTTGTAACGTTTATTTTTTTAGTATTTTTCTTATTTTATTTTAAAAGTGTAATAATTTCAATAGATAATAGTGACGTCTATCAAAAATATGAAAATTGATAAGGTTTTTATTTCAATTACTAATCTATATGTAAACTGATTAAAACTGGTATGTCTGCAATTATTGCAAAATTTTCATTATCATTGTAGTTTTATTAAAGAGATTTTTACATATGTCGTGGCCAGATTGTAGAATAGATCATATAAAGTAGTCTATCATTTTGTGAAATGGTGTGGACATTTCATGATATTTAACTTGTTGTTTGTTGACCATCTCATTTTTTATTTTTTTTTTTTATTTATTTATTACAAGATCCACAGCCCTAATTACAATGTAAATGAACTTAAGAAATAAACTTACAGCCAATAACGGATCTACTTTATACATTTTTTAACTTAAATTAATCGACCGACAATCAATAAGTTCGAGCCACAAAAACAGAATTTTAGAATTAACAATTAAAAACAGCGCGTCTATCTTTCTCTCTGATCTGTGTGTTCGTGTACGCGCGCTTGTGTGTGTGTGTGTGTGTGTGTGTGTGTGTGTGTGTGTGTGTGTGTGTGTGTGTGTGTGTGTGTGTGTGTGTGTGTGTGTGTGTGTGTGTGTGTGTGTGTGTGTGTGTGTGTGTTTGTATGTGTGTTCAATATACATATTAACCATTTCCTTCAAGTATTTCAAGAACTTCCCTCTTAAACACATGTCTACTACTATGAAAAATGTCAGTAACATTAAATTGCTTATTAAAAGTTCTATGCAATCGACTGACCAATGCGTTTTGTGCGTAATTTGATTTTGATCGTGTTACAGCAAATAATTTTGTATGTCTCGTTCTAACTTTCGGGGCGCAGAAACTCAGTATTTTGGTTGATAGTTCAGGGCTATCTATATATCCGTTGCATATTCCGTGTAAAAAGGACATGTCAGCAAGTACACGCCTATTTTTGAGAGTCGTTAGATTATGATAATGACAAGATTCATCATAGTTTTTAAAGTTTTTAAAGAGGCAATGGGACCGATAATTTAAGTGTTTTATGAGTTTTTCTTGCATTTTCTCCAAATCTTGAGTATAAATGATATACTGAGGGTTCCAAACTATGCTACAGTATTCTAGGATGCTCCTAACATAAGCGTAATATAGTACTTTTAGGCAACCTATGTCTGAGAAGGGACGACTAACACGCAATACGAAACCCAGGCTTCTGTACGCTTTGTTTTTAGTAATTTCTGTATGATCAGAAAATGTCAACTTGCAATCAATGTGAACACCGAGATCCCTAACACAAGCCGATTTTGCAATTTTAACATTACTAATATAGTATTCAAAATTGATTGGATGTTTCTTGCGAGTAAAGGAGATAAAAGAACATTTATTTATATTTATTCCAATTCGATTATCAGTATAATATTGTTCTAGACGGTTAAGATCAGCTTGTAGGCCAGTACAATCCATATCATTTTTAATTTTCATAAATATGAATATGCTCATGATATAGCTTGACCAAATCAACGAATAGAAATCGTTTGAAGATATTAATAACTAGACACAACGTTGATATTTCATGATATGGTCATATGATGATATCATTAAATAGTTTTTCACCGCTACCGGCGCTGATAGTGTATTTTTAACACAAACAGAACTCTTAAGAGAATTGACATCACTTATGCCTTATTGATAAAATAAATAAATGTTCACTTCTATCGTTGATATTATCTTAATATATAAAAATTACGTGTCACGTTGTTTGTCCGTGATGAACTCCTAAACTACTGAACTGATTTCAATGAAATTTTTACACTCTGTGCAGTTTGGTCCAACTTGAGAGATAGGATAGTTTTTATCTGGATAAGTGACCCTCAAAAATTTTTATTACAAATTTACGGATTTTTTTATAGGAGAAAGGGTCATGTCAGGAAAGGGCAGAACAACGTCTGTCTGGTCTGCTAGTTAATTAATAAATTCATAACTTACTTTTTAATATTAATAATAAAAAATAATAATATTAAAAAAGTAAGTTAAAATAATATTAATAAATTCATAACTTACTTTTTTTTAAAGTTGTAATGATTAATAGTTAATAGTAACAGTTTTAGTTTAATAAATTCATAACTTACTTTGCAGGATCAATTGCAGACAATACAAAGATTATAGCTATGATGTCAATTGAATTTTCTTTGAATGGGACTTGCCAGTCAGTAATTGTTGCATCTAATACAAATACATTACATCTTTTCGTATCATAGAGTTTATTTTGTTGCATAATGTCAATAGCTTTGGATGAGAAATCACAGCCATATATAAATAAATTGGGATCCTGGCTGTATTGTAGGATGGGAAAGATAGTATTTCCAACTCCACATCCTATCTCAAATATATAACGTTTAGTATTTTTGTCAGTGGTAACTGATTCTGTTACTTTAAAAGGTTTTTGATCAATATCTGGGTACACTCTTTCTGGTGCAGATGTGTTATCAGGTGCTAATTCAGGGAATTCTGTGAACAACCAGTGGCGATCTTTGAAGAATCTGAAAAAACAAGGAAAATTATTTATTAATATTTAAAAAAAGATAAATTTATCTATTATGATGTTTAGCGTACAGGAGATCAATAGGGGACTGGTAAATATACAGGCTGTTTGGAAGATGGGTGCAAATGAAAAGCCTGAAGGTTATGATTCCTTAAACCATTTAGAACATAAGCTGAAGTTGTCTTAAACGAAGTCTGCTCCTTTTTTTAAATTGAATTTTTAAGGTTTTTAACAATAAAACCTTTTTTTTTTTCAATTAATTGCTAATAGCATCCAGTAACAGTTGTTATGTTATTTTTTTTAGTAATGTGTGATTACCATAAAGTGGGGCTTTTTGAGACTCCAGGGGCTATTCACAACATTTGTAGTAAAAGATTTGATTGAATATATTATTTCTTCTAGCATTACACTACAACTAATGTCAGTGCCACTGGTGAAATTTAGAGGTTACCAAGGTATAAGCAAATGGTTAGATAATTTTTTGAAAAAAGCTTGTTAAATCAAGTTAGTTTGTATATTTGTAATTTGCAACTGAATTGTGTAATTGTAATTTGAAAATGGTTTCAAGCTATGCTCCTTTTGCACGACAACGCATCCATTCACAAGTGTCATGTTGTTGATGGTTTCCGTACACACATGGGGCTTCGAAACTTTAAACCACCCTCCCTGTACTCCAGATTAGCCTCCTTCGGATTATTATTTGTAGCCAAATATGAAAAAAGGGTGTCGCTGAAAATTTTTACAGATAACAAATAAGTGAAGTCGGCAATTTCTGCCCATTTTGAGGGCCTTGACAAAACGTTTTTCCGAAGGTATAAATAAGTTATTCGAACGGTCTGAGAAGTTTATTAGGGTTAATGGAGATTATCATAAAGAAAAAAATATTCCATATTTAATTTTACCCCCTTTCCCTTAAATTCCACGAATTTATTGACCTCACCTCATAACAGGTGCTACGAGATGAGGTAACTATTAGCAGTTAATTGAAAAAATGGGTTTTATTGTTAAAAACCTAAAAAATTCAATTAAAAAAAGGAGCACACTTTGTCTAAGACAAGTTTAGTTTAATATGTTCTAAATGGTTTAAGGTATATAAGCATCCCCTTCAGGCTTTGCACACATCTTCCAAATAACCTGTATATACAAATACATTATACAGATGCTTAAAATGTATTAGTATATATATATATATATATTTAACTATCTCTTATTTTTCTCTAATATATTTACTTATCTCTTTCTGTGGTAATCGATAATATTAATAATAATGCAATGGCTTAATGTATTATATATATGTAATAAAAAGTACACATCATTATATTGAAAATCACATGCATGAAAAAGTTATCTCATATGATAGTAAAAGATCTCAGCTAAGAGAGCATAAAACCAAATTAGATTGAGAATGTCAAGTCGAGGTCAATTAAACAATAAATCAATTAGTTCGAGTTAAGAATAAATTTTTGGATAACCAGATGGATTTAGTAGTCTCATAGAAGTTACTTCATGTAATGTATGCACTGTTCGAACACATCTTTATTCAAGACCTGTGATAATCTTTAAATAAATTGAACATCTATACTAAATAATATCTACAAAGATAATCATTGATTAGTTGTTGTCGTTACTTGTTTCAGTGACTGATTCCAGTACAAATATAAATGTTTAAAAAGGTTATTTGTCTTTGGTTGCACTGAGTCTTCCCCAACTGCACTAATTGTATTTTATATGTGATAAATAAATGCCATAGAGTAGCTAACCATATTTTTTTACAAAGTCAAGAGTTTTCATTATTGTTTTTATAACAGCCTATGGCCTATATATTTATGGCCTAGTTGTGGCACCTATTTAAAAATTCATTGTTCACAGATCTGTTTTAATCAGATATAGAGAACTGCACTTTGAACTAACTTTACAAATGGTTAATCAATAAATAACATTAAATCTATAAATATGTTAAATTGTATAAATAAAAAATAAAGGATACATAAAAAATTACATATACCTTTTCTTTTTATATAATTGATAATAATAAAAAGTGCCCAGCTTGATCAATAACATTAAATTTATGATAATGAATAGAATCAAGTGTTTCTTTGCAGTAAACTCTTCTATTAAAGATGTTAAAAATTAATTATCTATGATCTGTGTAAATTATAATGATGTGTCTTAGCTAGTTTGAAGAACCTCCCTCAATTGCTTACACTAAGCCCGTCACCACTAATCACAACATCACTACATTAGGAAAGACACACAACTGTTGATAATAACACGTGTTTCATTTCTAAACGAGGCATCCTCAAGGCAAATAGACTGTGGTAGCTCACCGGTAAGTCCGCAGTGGGCGCTCTTGAAACTAGGCATAACACATGATTTTATTTTAATATATAGATCTCAGCTAATATATTTTTCAGGAGTTCCATTCTTGCATATTACAACACCCAGAAGCTGATAATCACTTCAAGTACTGTTGAGTTATGTCAAACATCAAAAAGCACTAAATTCGGATGGCACTACTGATTGGATTGAGTTGAATTTATCATACAGTTGTTTACCTATTTTGATGGATATCATAAAATGCATCCCAATACTTATCAGCATTATCTTCCAAATCTTTCAAATGTTCTTCAGTAAATGTTACTTCAGAATTTTGTTGAACCTTTTCCTTAGCAGCTTGTTCCTGATTTGCATCCCATTGAACATTGTCCCTGAAATTATATACTTTTATAATATCTTTTCACAATGTAAAATTAATAAAAAAATTAAGAATTTATATGAAGTACCAAGCATTGAAGAGATATAGGTATTTATTATCAAGCAAATGACGAGAGCCCCCGGCAGGCTTTTTTCTGTGTCGTGTTTTCTCTAATTTATATAAATAGTCAAAGCCTTTACCGTGCTTACAAAATCTTAATGGAAAGTTAAAAACAGTACCAAGCGTTATGTTTGAAGACCTCATCCACATTTTCCAGGAATCGGTTACCAAATTGTGGTCTTTTTTCACTTGAGTCCATAGGCGTTTAATATCATAGAGTAAATGTAATACTATTTAGTATTTTAAAATGATTGATTTTTAAATATACGGTACTATTTAAATTAAATATATTGAAAACACGAAATATTATACGAAAATCATGTTTTCCATAATCCTATTATCAGTTGTCACTTGTCAAATATCTGTCAAATGTCAATGCACAATGTCTATGGTCTATGGTCATTCAAATACAATCATAGAGAGGGGTTTGAACGGGAATTTAACCGGCGGCGAAATGCTGCTCCTGTTTTATTGTTTAAATAATAGATTCACGTGGATTTTGATATGTAAAAGTGGTGCAATTTTGTGTACTAAATATCTGCGCATGTGAACTAATAGTGGAAACGGCGAAACAAGTGCTCCAATGGTTATGTAAATTTCAAGATAAGGTGTTTGTCTGCTTAGGCGCCTTGAGATACTATCGCTAACTGTCTGCTAGCTCAGATTGCCGTCAAGAAGCAGTGCACTAAAAAGGATTATTGTCACTTGATACTGAGATAAATGAAGACATGGCTTAAAGAAAAAGCATCAAAGTCTAAAATCTTACTAGGTACCTAGGTACCTACCTATTCCAAAAAATTCTTACCATAGACAATGCTAGTGATATTAACTATAATATGACACGTTTAGATTATCGGCTATAATATGACACGTTTTCACCAGTTTTCACGTGGTATAGCCATCTTAGGCGATGCTATATTACTGATGAAGCTCATCTGCAGCTATATTACCTGGTATAGTTGTAGCACGAATGGGTTGGCTCTACCGGGGAAGGACCACGTTCTCACAGAATACCAGCGTAAAATAGCAGCTTAACGCTTCTGTATTTCATATAATGAGTGTAGAGAACCGGACACCCTTATTATTGGAAACGAGGCATTCCATTTTAGTCCTCACGGGTGACAACGCATCTGCACTTTTATTCGTAATCGAGGATAGATGTAGATGTCTATGATCCACAGCAACTACTTACCATCAGGTGGACTGTGTGCTCGTTTGTCATCCTTATCCTATAAAAAAGAATCGGCACTAGCATCTTGCCGAGTTATTCGTGGACGAGTACGACGCGTTTACTTATTCGTCTGTATTCATCAAACGTAAATCTTTTAAACAAGGATGACGTGCTTCTCCTTGCCACAACTTTATGTCTACTTGATATTAATGCTGTAATGATGATGATGATGGTGAAATATTTATTTTCATTAATATCTATTTAAAACTGATATCTAGGACCCCATATTAGGGGTTCTCCTTGATAAAGTTATATAAAAATAGTGGATTCGTTACTCCAATCCATCTCAGTAGGTAGGTTTTTTTATTCGTTATTCCATTTACTTGTGCCAAAAAACTCAGCAAAAAATCTAGTGGAGAACATGTGTATCCTCGGGCCTACTCGTCTGTGATTGGCGAGTATCTAAACAATGCATTAACGTTACAATAGAAAATAACCTTATTGATATAAGGTAGACTCATCCAATTTCGTGATAAAACAAAATATGTAATAAAACTTCGATGTTTTAGTAAAATCTTTTTTATTTCAATTAGGAACGTTAATCAGTCTTTCATTTACAGTAATTAGGATAGTAAGCTTATTAAGGACTACTATTTTTAGACTTATAGCTAATTATAGAAACCTTTACAATTTTTTTTACTTGACTTTGACTTTAACAATTTCATGATAATTACTTTAAGTTCGTGAATCGTGATACTTACGTAGATAATTACGTCATCACGGAGTTGCATGAGCTTTTTATTTTTTTATCACGTAATTAGAAAAATATTTCCCGACTATAAAATTAAATATTTCACGATATTCTTTTTGTCAGATTAATTGAATAAATGTGTAACACAAGTAATATACATTTAAAAGCCCCAACCCAACTATGTAGCTACATTTCAAGCTATTTATCATCATCATCACTATCTGTCACACTGCAAGCGTCACACATGAAGATTGGCTTCCTTTCCTTTTAATATAATATCTCGACTTTGGCAATGCACATGATAGGGTAACTTGCAATAAGAACAAATTATCCATTCAGATCCGTTTTCTGAGGACACATCGTTGGAGTACAGTCTATCACACGTGTGACATCTCCAATCGTCTTCTGGTAGTGACAGTTTGCGCTTCATTTGAGTAACTGATTTACCTTTTTTCCTTGACTGTTATTCTTGTAGGCGTTTCCTTTGTCTGTTGTGGTGTGTGGTTAGTTTGCAGTTTGGAAGTTGACGGCTGAACAAGTGTTAAACATATAGCATTAGGAATAGTCCTTTTAGAACTCTGCTTCTTTTTTTTAGGTATCAGAATATCGTGAATTTCAATTTTCTTTGGTTTAGGAGGCGAAGAATTTGCTACATTTGAGTCTGCCTTCGTAACGCAGGAGCCCGTATTGCATATGGTGGTAAATTCTTGTTCTGGTTCTTGTGATGTCGAATAATTTAGGGGTCGTTGTTAGTTGTTTCGAGTTTGGTATTAGGGATCGAATTTTCGAGGTCTTCTTTGATCAGAATTTTTTGTATTGGCTCAGTGGGAAGATGTTTGTCTGTAAGTTGGGTGGGCGCGATTGCTTCTGGACACTGTTTAATGGATAAATCCTGCTCTTATGTTTGATGGAGTGAAACTTCTTTCATACGCTGGAGTCAAAAATTTATGAAAATCAAAACGTGTCGGCACTGAACTTGGATATTGCGTTTTGTACTTTTGTAATTCAGCAGGCCAAGCTGCTTTAAGCGGCCGAAAGACCCCGACGTCAAGTGGCTGCAAGATGTATGACTTGTATGTGCTGGCATTGTGAATAATATGATCTTGTTAGATTGAGCATAAGCTAAAACATTCGGGGAAACGTGGTTGGCATGTGAATCCATTATGAGCAAAACCGACCTTGCTGGTGGATTGTTTTTGGAGAAATACTCGAGCCATTCCAAAAACAGATCTGTATTGATTCAATCTTTTGGAGAAAGTCGAAAGCTATTTTTAAGTGAACCAGAACTTAGTTGTGGTACATTTCGTACCCCTTTGAAAATCGTCATCGTTGGAAGAAAACATCCAGAAGCATTGATGGCAGCTAGTACTGTAGTGGTGGTACCTTTTTAAGCGTATGTACGGTTATAAACATACTGTTTTCCAATCTTTGATACTATTTTGGAAGGTTTGTTTACGAACATTAAGCCTGTCTGGTCGCAATTTCATTGTTTTTCCGGGGATTGTAACAAATTGTGCTCAATCAGGGTCTTTTTAGCAGGATTGGAACAACTAGCTCGGCCAGCAGACAAATTCTCAGGTGGACGTAAAGATAAGCCATAACACTGATTAAAACTTGTTACGGCCTACGGCTGCTCCCTTAAAGGATCCAATCCTCAGGGGCCCATGAGCTGAAGACTTCCCGAACAGACGTAGGTCGGGCCTCAATGTGGCCACGTGGAATCTCTCTAATTACACTAAAATATATGGGGGAGCGTTATACTACGGCCAGTCGACCGGAAGGAATTTGGACGAAGCTTACTTACCTATATCCAAGGCGACTGGTCCCTCCGGAGTCGGTCAGGTCGCATGTGGTTGTGTAGTGCAAGGGAAAGAAGGGTGATGTGGTGTGTATCTGGGTGTGACTGATGGTGATTGAACCTAGACCTTGGCCGTCGGCAGCAGCCCGAGCGTCGACACCGCTCCAACTTGAGGGGGCCTTTCGAGGTTGTCCACAGTCACTTTCTTCTTTCGTCACGTTGACAGTCAATTAACTCTATCGTACGATTAACTAACTTACAGAAGCCACTAACTATCGCGGGGTATAAGGTTACCTCACAAAACACGCACGGAGTTTCTGGATCAAAGGTCACTTCCGTTTCGCGTTGCAACAGTTAATTCTAGAATATTAGAGGCCGCACTAGCTAATATTGCCTAATGCACTTATGCAGATTCTGAGTCAAACACAATGAGTCCCTGGGAAGCTCTCCAGCAGGAATGCGCGTCACAATGATAGACCGTATATTTACTGGCCGCGCCGAATTATTCCGAGTTCCCTAACAGAATACAGCGTGCCAATCGTTAGCACCGCTTATGGACGACTGCTGCGCTTGCGACCCGCGCGCCACTTGCCACGCTTGGCCGAACTTCAAACCGGTATCGCAGAGCTGCGCGCCCTCTAACGTCAATCCCGAAATCAGCGTTCGGGCGTAAACAAAACTGATCCACCAGTTCCAACCAGCAAATCCTTTGTCTGAGCTAAAGCAATGTTTTGGATTTTTTGCCTCTGGCAACGAAAGGGCAATTTTTCGAATTTGATTCACTGTGAGACCAAACCCGAGCTCTTGCATTTCAATTATATAAGCAACTAATTTTTGCTCTATTTCAACCTTTAGTGAAAACGGTCTTTCAATTTTAGACATAATAAATTGAGATTCGATTCCTTTATCTTTTTTCTTCTTTCGCACGACGAACATTATCTTTGAGAGTAGTCCATGGAATGCCGAAGTTTTTAGATGCGCGGTAAACAGTCATATTTTTTTCTAATAGATTCTCGACTGCAGTTCGCAGCGTCGTTTTATTGTATTTTCAATTTTTTACTATCTTGTTCCTCCATTATATCTGTAAAAAAATCATTGAAAGTCAGGGAACAACATAAAAATTCAACTCATTTAATTCCGTGACATAATTCTGAAAGTTTCTTCCATAGGTATAAATTTTTTTTATTTAGTTTTACTTGACGTAAATGTTCACATTAACTTAATAAATCACGAAAATTAATAGTTCCTAACCCTGTTTTTACGTACATCACATGTTAAATCCTACGTTAAATCCATGATACAACTCCAGTTCAAAACTTGAAAATTCGTTAATTTTATGGGTTGACAAAATACATACATACATAAACACTCACGCTTGTCACCCAGAGGGGTAGGCAGAGACTACGGACTTCCATTTGGCGCGATCCTGACACACCTCTCTCGCCTCTTTTACATCCATATATCTACGCATACACGCTC